CTCTCTCTCTCTCTCACACACACACACACACACTCTCTCACACTCACACACACACACTCACAATCACTCACTCAGTCACTCACTCACTCTCTCTCTCACACACACACTCACACACACACACACACACGCTCGTCCAGCTCAGCCTAATTCTTCATCACTCGCTCAAGTAAATTATTTGTTATGGGGAGTTAATTATCCCTCGTTTAAGGTGCGTTTTTAAGAGGTTGCTGAGACCTGCATGTGCGTGAATCTTGAGTTCTGCACTTCATGAATCTTGCTGTGAGTGCAGAGAGTAACTGGATCGACCAATCAGCAGATAAAACACCCACAAACCCTCACCAGTGGACGAGTGACATCAGCAGGTCAGCTGTCAATCATCCGTCACTCACTCGTCCACTAGGTGGGGCTCCTGCACTGATGATCACCAGTGACCGAGTGCGTCTCAATCTCTCCGCAGGATCACGGATCAGCGCTTCGAGCGGCTGCCGTACTTCATCTTCGGCGACTTCAACTTCAGGTTGGACTCCAAGCAGGTCATCGAGGTCAGTCAGACGCTCTCAGTGTCTCACACAAACACTCACACTCTGGCCATGTTCACATACTATTGCTGAAGTTCACTGCATACAGTACTTGTGTGACCTAATACAATACCTTACAGTAAGTTAAAACATTTCCCACAATGATTTTGCACTACAATAGGTAGTAATTAATAATTATATAATAGAATTATATAATAGTAATAATTTTATATATTTAATAAAACATATTTTGTAAATGTAGTTATTTAATTATTGTTTTAAATTTCATTAAAAGTATTTATTTTTTATTTATTTAAGCAAAATAAACATTACCTGAAATAAAATATAAAAAAAACGTTTTATTTCAACTAGTTGCCAAGGCAACATTTCCCATTTATATTAAATAATAATAAAAACAAAAACAAAAAAAGAAGATAAAACACTTTACACCTAAACTTTAAAATTAGCGTGAAAACTAAAAATGCCACAAAAAAAAAAAAATAAAAATAAAGGACAAAAACAAACTACAATTACTGAAACTTTAACAAAAATGTAAGTGAAAACAGAAAATGTAAAAATCCAATCTGAAACTATAATATTATAGAATGCACCGAATAATCAGATCAAATGCACAAATGTAGCGCTAGACGCTGTATCCCACAATGCATTGTGCTCGACTTGACCTTCCATTTCCAGAGTGATGAATGAACCAGATGAAATATGAAACGCACATCATCTTTACTCATCATTTGATCCGACTGATGAAAGTCACAGCACAGTGAGGTGGTCTAAACGTGAAGCTTTTATTGCGTCATGTGTCTCTGAAGGGCCCTCACTTGTGTTTAAAGGCGTCATTAGCACACAATGAGTGTGAGAAGAGCCTCCTCACATAACAATGCTGCTGGAGGGCCGCTCGGAAAACACAGCTGGGCCCCTGAGGGCCCTAATGAGTGATATATGTGAGGGCCGTAAACCAGCTCATTGTTCTCAATCAGGTCCTGTGTGTGGCAGGGAGGAGGCGTTGTTGAATTGCTGCTTGAGCTGTAAAATGAAAAGCCACAAATCATAATGCATTTCAAATCGTTTGATTATTGTGTGTATCTGTGCACAGGGTTCAGCTAATATTACCCACAATCCCTTGTGCACCAGTTTGTTTTTTGCCTGTGCATCCGTTCATCCATCAGGTTCATGGTTTGTATTAGTTGTCATAAACAAGCCTCAACTTTTTATTGGATGCAGATATAAGTCGATGTGTCAAATATTATAGAAGGCGCATGTTGATTTGTAACACTGTATAAATTAAGATGACAAGCTGAATTTGAAGGCTAACCGGGAACTTGTGGTATTAAGTATTTTTCCGCTCTTAAATGAGATGGAGTGTGTTATTGTGTTTTAGGCAATGCATTATCTTGTAAAACTCAAACTTTTGAAATACTAAGTAATAAAGCTAATACAGTGGGTGTAGAAAAGAATCAGTTTCCTTTAAAATAATCAGATTTTGTTGCTTTGAAGCCTGAAATGAAGACAGACACAGTTTCTGTTTTATCCAGGTAGCACTGAGTAAATACAGCTGGATAAAACATAAACTGTGTCCGTCTTCATTCAGGCTGCAAAGCAACAAAATGTGATTATTTTAAAGGGGGCTGATTATTTTCTATACCCACTGTACATTATATATATATATATATATATATATATGTATATTAGTTCAAAAGAACG